AAATTGACAACTGATTGCATATAACTAATGCCCTGCATTAAATACTACTCTATAATAGGGGTGACTGATTTGAACTCTGTTAGAGTCATTATTTCTTTTCCTGGGGGAAAAAATTATAATTTGCATGGAGAATGAAAAATGGACATGTCCCTTGGGCATCTGTTAGACTATGCAGGCTGTTCAGGTTTTTTTTTTTCCTCTCCAGCTACATCCTCATTTGCTTAGCTAATGGCTCTCCTGTCTGGGTCTAGCACAGCAAATGTCACATTTAACCATCAGGACAGCTAATTCTAGAGGATTTAAAAAAATGATAAATACACTGAAATCTACAGGGTTGTCTTGGTGGAGAAAAGATGGATTGTTTATAAGAAAGTGTGTAATTTGTTTAAGTTTCTATTATTCCATTTTTATGTAAATGCCACTTGAGTAGTGCTTGTGAATCTCAGGCAATCACTCATATAATTTCTGGTATTTTTTCATAGTTTGGTTTTCCCCTTTTTGGTTTTTTAAGGTTCCAGACTTCCCAGATGCTGTCTCTTCAGTCACTGGCTTTGCTTATAAAAATTTTAAAATCTATGGGCTACCTAATATCCCTCATGTCAGTGAGTTCAGTGGAATGATAGCAAGTATTAATTTAGGTTCATTTTCCTGTGTCATAGGGAAAAAGTAGAGTTTGGTAAGCAATGGTTTCCTATTCATTGCAGTGTTCCATCTGCAACCAGCTCTTCATTGTAAGGGTAAATCAATAATATGCTGTACAACTTTCAGAATTTAAAAACAGGGATTCTGATTCAGAATAAGTAGAACTATAGCAAAATCAATGGTGTCTGACTTGTGTACACCTGATTTACATGACAAGAAGATTAGACCCAATCAACTAGCTGAATGTAAGTAAAGTCCATTTTAAACTCTGTTGGATGCATATTGTTGATTCTTAGACCAGTCCTATAGGCTAGAGACAGAAGTTACATGTAAACCGGTTTAAGTGGTCGGGTTTAAACCTGTAACAGAACATAAGTTCAGTGTGAAAAAAACAGTTTAAACTCGTTTAAAATAAACCTGATTGAATGTAGTATCAGACTTAACTGATTTGGGTCAGACCGGTTTATGGAACTTCTGTCCCCGATGCTTTCCTGGTTTAAGATAAATTAGCGTCCCCCCAGCATACTGGCATGATTTTCAGCCCTCGGCTGCGCTCTCTGCTCCAATGGAGCAGGGCTGGCCTTGCTCCCAGGTGCCAGCAGGGACTTTTCCATCCCCAGCAGCCAGGAGCTAGGCGGATTCCCTGCCTCACCCCCTCCTCTGCTGGGGAATCAACCCAGCTCCCAGCTGGGGCTGGGGAGTAAAGCCTCCACTGCTGGCTTCCTCCCTCTGCCAGGAACAGGGTGGGTGTTTTTCTCCCCCCACTCCCTCCTCAGCTGCCCCACAAGATCTGTTGGGCTGCAGGCTGCAGTCACTGGGGAGCCCCGTCCTGCAGGACAGACTGAGGTGGGGCAGCTGCAGCCTGGGATGTGAGCCCCTCCAGTGTCAGCTGCACTGCAGCCTTCCCACAGCCTGGCGGGTGTGGGGGGGGTCGGGAGCCACAGATGCTGTGCCAGGCAGGGCTGATGGGCAGTGGGGGCTGGCTCTGGGCATGGGGGTGGGTGGGGGGGAGGACTTGCCCGACACCTGCAAGGAGCTTGGGGCAGGCCCAGCTCCCCATCATGGGCAGGTGCCAGGCTGCAGCTCTGCCCAGGGGGCATCAGGCAGCCCCAGTGCTCTGACCCCCTGAGACCACTTTGGGCTTCCCACCCCCTGTGTCAGGCACAGCCTGGCTGGGGTGCAAAGCTGGGACCTGAGCGGGGGTGAGGCATTTATCACCCGCTACCTGCTCGCGATGGTGCCGGGTGCGTAGGTGTGGGCAGTGGCAGGGGGAGGCAATGGACCGCTGCAGCTCGGTGCAGCCTGCCCCTGCGCCCTAGGAATGCAGGCAGTGACTGGCCCGCAGGAGCCCGCCCTGAGCACCTGGTGCCTCCCTGAGCAGGTAGCAGGTGCCAGGTGCCTCACCTCTGCCCACCGCGATAGTTCACTCCGCTGTTGCTGCCGGGAGAGGCAGGTGGCAGGGAGCTGCGCTCCAGCTTGCCTGCAAACGGCGGTGCGTGGGGCTGTAGGCAGGAGGTGGTGGGCACTGACCCGCACTCCCTAGGGCTGCCCCAGCCTGGGCTGCACTACTGCAGTGGGAGGCAGCCGTGAGTTGGGCTTCCCTACTCCCCACAGCCAGGTCACATCCGCCCTCCCTGCCCTCTCCCTGTGGCCAGTTGGCTGCTCCTTGGAGGGATTCGGCCCAGGGTGTGTGTCGGCGCCCCCCGCTGGTGCTGTGTGCAATGCAGGGATTAACCCCCCACCTTCAACTCAGTCTACTGGCATCTGGCTCCTACAGCCCTGGGTGTACGGGTGCATGAGCAGAGCATGTCAGTGCCCACGCTGCCCCTCTTTGCTGTAGTGGGATTAAACCCCTACTTCTCTTCAGGCTTCCAGGGTCTGGCCCCAGTCCCCCTCCTGCCACCAGCCAGTGAGTGGGGGTGGGGGGATGCGGACCCCTGACAGGGGCTGCTTTGCCTGCCCCCCTCCAGGCACACCTGGGTTGGGGTCCTGCTGGCCAAGGTGGGGGTTTAAACCCCTCTGCAATCACACTCAGGCCTGCCCCTTCCCTCAGCTTAGTTTCTCTCCAGCTGAGGGCTCGCTCTGGCTCCCCAGCTTCTAGTCTGAGTCACTGTAGGCACGTGCCTGCATTTTCTGAGACAAAAGTGGATGTCTGCCCACTTGCAAATGAGTTCAATTTATGCAGGTTAGAGTAAAGACCGCTGAGTAATGTCACAACCCAAGGGTGTGATTTTGTTTGTGCGCGCTTCGGCACTGCTAAATTATTTCCCACCACCAGGAGCTTTCTTTGCAGGGTGCATTTCTTAGTTGCAAAGAGAAATGCACGGTGCAAAGGAGTTCCCGCCATTCGCATGCAAATTTGTGTCCCACTATTGGCCAGTTCTAAATTATTCCCACGTGGTGGCTAGCGATTGGCTTGTTAGCCGTATAAGAGGCTTGAGTGGTTTCCGCCCAAGTTGGAGGGCTCCACAACCATCTGGAGGAGGAGGACTTCACGTCTTGTGAAGACCTCTAAGCGCTGCGGAGCCTATCGGACCCAGCGTGTATCTCAAGAAGGCTATAGGGGTCTGATCAACCTCTGGCCTCTCCCTGTCGCCGAACGATCCCTCGACGAACCCCTTCCCTGCATGCAAGTTCCACGGAGCCTAGCAAACTTCATGTGAGTATCCAGAGCTCTCTGCTTCGAGTTGTTTTCTTTGGTTGACGCGACGGGCTCGCATGTTTAGAGCCTTCAACCGGATTGGGCTAGAGGTTCACGGGGAAGGAACTCTTGTCCGCCTCTCTTCTTTTCTGTCTGTAACCGCAACTCAAGCAAGTTTTCCTGCCTGCACCGCGACCATCTTTGGTGTAAGTAAAATAATCTTTAATCAACCGCTAAGCGTCCGTGCCTAATTCTAGTCCGCCGGCCTGCATTCCCCGACCCGCGTGCCAGGGCTGCTGGCCACAGCCCGCCGCGTGCCCCCGAGAACCTTGGACCGCTCCCGGCCCGCACAAGTAAAAACTCAGTTGGTCTAATAAAACATATCACATCTACCCAAAGAACTTCGGCTGCAGGATGAGGACTTTAAGTCAGGAAAAATCAGGTACTATATCTATAAAACAGAAGACCTGGCCAACACGGCTGGATACACAAGGAACCACCATGACCTGCCTCGTGTGGGATTTTGACAGGGGCCGGCCTTAACTTAAAAAAAAAATGTTTTTAAATAAATTTTTCGTGTTCCCAGCCAAATCAAGTCCAAATTCATGAGTCAGTCCAGAACCATAACTGGCCCTACAACTAGCAAACATCTTCCACCCCCACTAGGGGCTTCAGATATTTCCAAAGTCTTTTGGCAGGCATCCTACGGGCAGGCCCAAGCCTGGAGACTTGGGGTTCGGATGCTGCCAAGTTTTGCCTGCCCTCAGCCATATGGCTGCAGAAGCAAGCTAGGGAGGAGTCTCCCATTTGCATAAAATGGACTTTAAGACCCAACACCTCAGTGGGTACGCCAGAAGAACAGTTATCCCCGGGAATGCTTAAGGAAAACTGCCTTCACAGACCCAGATTTTGCTTTATTTATTTAATTTGTATCGGAGGCCAAACGAGCCAAAACTAATTCCAAATCCAAGAGTCCAGAACCATCAGTTGCCTGACTACCAGCAAACATCCTCCACCCTCGTCTGGAGTTCAAAAACCCTTCGTCAGGCTAAGGAAGTTTCAGCAGTTGGTGTATCCTCCAACTGCTGAAGCTTCCTTAGCCTGATGAAGGGTTTTTGAACCCAAAAGCTTGCTTAATAACTTTTCTCCAACTATTTGGGTTGGTCTAATAAAAGATATCAAATTCACCCAAGGAACCTTGTCTTCCAGTTTTGCGGCTGGCGTTTCCAGGGGGTGCAGGGCCAATCTCAGCGCAAGACCAGATTGGAGCGCTTGCCACTGCGCCCCCGTTTTGCTCGCCCGTACCCACGCGGCTTTCGGGGCAAGCCGGGCAGAGGACTTCCATTTCCATCAACCGGGCTTAAAGCCACCACCGAACCGCGAGGACGGTTCAGGAACACTGCCTTCTCGGACACGGATACGTGGGATTTCCCCTGCCAGGTTAAGAAGCCTTTTCAGAGACATTGAAAAAAAATTATTTTTAACGGTTTAATTCTTGTTTGTGTGACAGCCCGCGCCAAACGGCCCTGCCCGCCTGGGTGCCAGCAGCACTGGGGCGCAGGGGTTCCCGGGCGGGGCCGGCGGAGCGCGCGGGTCCTCCCCGGCAGGGGGCGCTGCGGGCGGGCGGCG